TTGTGTTGTTTCCATAAAACTGAATTTCACAGCTATAAATCTTAACGCTATGAGCAGAGAGAGGAGCAGAGGAAGGCAAGGTGGTGTGCAGATTGTGTCCGTCTGGAGGATCAGAGCAGGAAGCCCAGTGAAGCCTGGTGGAAATAGAAACAGAGGCAGAGGGAGACCCATCTCTAACCACATGGGACACTTTTATATGCGACGTCCATGAGAATTGGCTTTAATAATCCTGAAGAGTCTGTTCCTGTCTCTCTGGTGAATGAGGATGTCATGGTTTGTGTCCAGTAACACATGGAGCTCCGTGTGGAAACTCATTTTGAGCTCCAGGCTGTGAAATATCTTGTAAACTTAACACAAGAAGAAGTCCAGGTTGACCATAAGCTCTCAGTGTGTGTGTGTGTGTGTGTGTGTGTGTGTGTGTGTGTGTGTGTGTGTGTGTGTGTGTGTGTGTGTGTGTGTGTGGCAGACGTGCAAGAAATGTAAGAAATCAAAAGATGGATTATAGATTGATGGTAAGCAGCAAGAAGATGTAAAATCATGACCCGCACAGATCCTTGGCCCTCCACCTGATTCATGATTTCACCAACTCACTCACACGTGTCCCACCACTAGATTCTCCCAGCACTACACACACTCTAAGCACCAGCAAACAGCGGCCCCTAGCAGGGGCTGAGGGCCGGGAAGTGAAGATAAGAGAGGCTTTGGTTGAGCTCAGGTTGGTTCAGGTCGGGATGTGTGTACCTGCTGGGCCTCAGGACTCCTCTGTAGGTGATGCGGGCCACACGGGTCACTGGGCCCAAAGAGTGATAGAACCGAGTCCTGTTCAGAATAGGATAAGACAGGATAGAATAGGGGGCACGGGACACTGTTAGGGCTATGAGGGTCTCTTGTTGTTTTTTGCCTTGATTGAATGGGTTAGGGCTGGATGGAGGGGCGGTCATTTGGTTAGAGGAGATATTGATGAATATGTGTTTACAGGCTTATTCAACAGTTTTCAGAAATGTTTATTTGGAAAAAACGGTTCAGATGATTTTCAGAGCCAGATCATTCTTCAAATAGCGAGTGTGGCTCCAGACATTTGGCACAGAGTTATTGTTTAGAGGATTGAATCGTTTAGTTTTTAAAACTTTCAGGCTGCTGCAGAAGCATCTGAGAGCAGCGGTGGAGGGATGAGGCATGAAAGCCCTGGCTGCAAGGCTGAAAGCGAGGCAGCACGCGGCAAGTTTTTATTGACGATCGTTTTGCATAGCTGTGTCTTGAGGGCAGAGCAAGGAAAATTGTACAATCACATCAGGGATGGGCGTATTTTATGACCAACATGTGGATGTGATGAAAAAACACTGCACACACAGACGTTGTAACCTTACCTCTCAAAAGCCGGCCAAGAAACCTCTTCACTGAGCTCAGAGCCCTCACTGCTCCCTGTGTGCAGATACAAATCATTCACAAAAATGATGCAACATGTCACAGAACATATAAACTGAGCAACATGGTAAAAGGTTTATACGTGTTTGTCTTACCAAGTGAAATACCACTGGACAGAGTTGAGCTCTCTGCATGTACTCTGGTGGGACTGTGGCTCTCCATCACACTATCGTCCAACAGGTGGCGAGACCCAGCGTTGGGGAACGTAGCACTTTTAAACTCTACTGTATTCATCTTATGGATAAAACTATGTGGGTAGAGAACACGGAAGAAAATAGGAAGAAGTAAATATTAATGCTTTACAACTTGTTTTTGTAGGATCTGTGTAGTTCACAGGGCATCATCTTTCGTTATGATCTACTATAGGATTCATGCATTATGACTTCAGTTTTTTTAACCTAAAAATAACTTCAAATAAAAACTGACTTGTAGCCCAGGCTGTGGCACTTCCTGTGTCCGTAGGGCAGGAGGTTCCTGGGGGAGGGCGGCGTGGCTGGGACTTTGGTTCCTTCAGCTGCTATCGTACATTTACGGCCGCAGAGAGGAGATGCTGACGCTTCATGACCTGTAGCTAGAAGAGGGAGGGAAGCACAAGTTTATTTACCGTGACGAAAAGAGAGAAAAGAGAGGATCAACTGGTTTGATTCTTTATTTACGAGAAACTTACCGACAATATCCTCTTTGGTGGCATTTGCTCGTGGTGTGCTGGTGCCAGGCTCAATCTTTTGTGACAACCTAGACAAGAAACATTGATAAAACCATTAAAGTGAATTCATCCTCATTGATTACGGAGATAAGAGGGAAAGACAGCAAACGGCAAATTAGAGATTCATGGGCAGCAGCGTGGTCCATCTGAGATCTTACTTGTAATTGTCGTCTTCTACAAACTTCTGCAGCTCTTCGATGTACCTGACTGAGTTCAGATACTTCTGTACATGAGTCAACAGTTGTACATCTGGAAGAGGAGAGGAAATGGAAACACATTATAATACATATACAGAATGTTTTCATGATGTATTAATGATGTAAAAGTGTATAAATAATTACAGAGTTTTACTTCAAACTATCCCTGTATCCTGAGCACTGCTAACTTTTACCAACAGTATTTATTTTCCCTTTATAATCATGTAATAACACTTGAATGTTTACTATTCTACTAACACATAAAACAAAAGTTTGAGGGGTACAATTGGTCAGGGTGTATAGTCCTGTAGAAAGAAAATACTTCCTACATGAACATTTTTACAAAAAGTCAGTGGATTGTTCACGACTAACAGGGTCATGATTTCTAGAAAGACACATTGCTGTTATTTTAGCCCTTTGAGAACCTCAAGCTGAGCGCAATCAAGTTCAATTATAATCAAGAAAAGGCCAAACCTCTACACTGGATATACCAAACACTCAGCAACTCGGACTAAACAATCTAGATTTATAAATATTACTTTGGATCAGAGAAAAAATTATTTGATTCATGGTTGAACTGTCACACTAAACCTGGGCTCTCTAGTTTTTGCACATTACCATCCAGTGATCGTGGCGGTGTAAAACCTACCGTAGGTAACGGATCTCTGCAGGTCCGATAGGATTCTGAGGATGTTGTTCATCAGGTTTGATCTCTGTTCGTTCTCCAGTATGCTTCCCGTGGAGGGATAGGCTGAGTCTACATATGTCAGATCGGACAGGTACATCCCTGAAATGAAGCAGCAGAAAAAGATGCTAGATGTTAAATCAAACCAGGAGAAACACACAGCTTTCCTCACATTTCCTCTCACATTTCGGAGAGTCAAGTGCCCCTGTGCAAGCCAAATGAGGACAGCGTCCATCTGTTAAGGGTGTTATTTGAAACACCATTGGGAGACAAGGATTTTCCTCCCTGAACACAGAAACCCTGGCTCATTACAAAGTAAACACAAACACAAACAAGGATGGACACCGGGGACACATTTTCCTGGAGTCATGATGCCTTGCAGCTGTGGATTTCTAGGAATGAACACCAGCTGGTAAGCACAGATTGCTTATTTGAAAACTCACAAGAACTCTTCACAGCTTTTCTTTTTGCATGGATTTTTTTGTTCTCCATGGATCTAAAGTATTACCTTGAGTGGATGATTGATCTTCTCTTCAGCCTTTCCAACTCATGACCATCCCTCTTTCCCCTCTTTCCCCTCTTCCCTTTCTTCTTGCCTCTTTTTGGCAGACTTGTAGCAGAGCTGAGATTCTTAGCCTCTCATTACATAAATATTAACATTGAGAGACAAACCCAGGAGCGCCTTCCAAACGCTCTGTGAAAGCAGAGATTAACAAGCTTCAGAAGTGAACTGATGGTGCTATTTTCCTCCTCTCTCTCTCTCATGCTAAATGTTTCTTTCACACACCACCATTGAGATTGACTGCAGATGTAAGAAGAGTTATCTCGCAGTAGACTACACAACACCAACACTCCCTCTCCCTTGGAAAGTGGTGTTAAACTCACAGATGTGCGCACATACACAGGCATTTACAACATTGTAAACGCAGAGCCTAAACACAGATGTAAAAATAATCAACAACAGAACTGCAGACGCAGTATATAAAGGGCCAACGCTTGTCTTCAGGATACCACGCACACTCAAACACAACACCACCTGATTAGAATCAAAGAGAGAATGAGAATTTGAGAGCAGAAGAAGCCGTTTACAAGAGTTTCAGAGACATAGCTGTAAAGGGGGAAGTGAGAGATGTGGAGAAGAAGAGGAATCCTGAAGGCTTAGCCACTGGAGCTGCACTTTTGAGAGCATGTCAAGGGTAACAGCAGTTAGTCATGCACAAATCCATACTGACTGGAACACACACACAGCTGCGTGCTCAGAGGACCAGTTGTTAAGGTGTGTTCACATGTGGTAAATCGTGTACAAAAATGGAATTAGAAACCTAAAAAGGGAAGATGTGCGAAATGTGATCACAATGTGAAAGAAAACGTCCTCCTCTATCTGCTTTTTTAAGCAAGTAACCTACAAGATCTTTCAAATGTGTGTCCATGTCTCACTAAGCTGAACACATTAAAGTAAATGGCAGCACTGATAAGGACCAGACACACTTAACTGCACCCGGAGCAAGGATTTTGCTCCAATAACAAGTTGTCTTTATCTGCCTTCCTTTTTCTCCTGCTCTCATAAGAGCCATACAGGAAGTGGCTCAAAAACCTCGGCAGCATTACGATCCGCTCTTCCCACTCAGAAAGGGAAAAGCAAGGAGAAAGAGGGGAATGTGGGTTGTCATTAAAGAAAAACGGTCAAAGCAGTTTACCTGTGCCCCACACTCAGCACAAACACTTCAAGCTGCTCTCATTTCCTTTCACTCACACTTTTTTTTCTATATTAGAACCAAGACGGTTATTGTTAAGGATGGCAACTTAATGAGGCAGCTCTGTTATTCTCTTTTTTCCATCAGAGTGACATCAGAGGTGGGCTTGGCCACAAAAAAAATTGAGAGGGGAAGAAAAAAGGCAATCTCAAAACTCCCACATCCCCCTTCTCCTCCCCTCTCTTCCTTCTTCCCCTCCCTCTACTGGTCTCCCCCATCCTTTGTGAAAAACTCAAGGCATCAGTCGTCAAGGCTCAGTCTATGGAAGTGGCCGGCTATTGAACCATGCCCCAGCCCGGGCCCCAGGACAGCTGAGTCCACAGAGAGGAGCGCATCTTTCGGAAGTAGGGCCTTAGCTAAAAGAAAAAAGCTTTCATATTGTGATTTCATGCTGCAGGACAGGAGGAGCGACTCAGAGGACTGGGATAAAGAGACAGAGAGATGAGTCCTAAACACTGCAGCTCGGTGAAGACACAAAACAATACACACGTGAAACTATAACTGAAGGAAACACACCCCCACTGCTGGTAACAAAACAAGGTAAATGTTGCCTCTGTTAATTCTGTTTCAAGTTTGTTTTGGAGTATGTGCGTGTGTGTGTCAGCATGACAGTATGTGTGTGTGACTGGGCAGCTGCGAGAGCTCTGGCTGAGAGGTTGGAGAGGTTAGGACGTTTCGTGACTGGAGGCTCCGGCTGCAGACAAAAACATTTAGCAACGCTTCTTTGGCTTTTCTCTAGACTCTGAGGCCTGCAATATACTGTGTGTACAGCATGCTGAAATCATCATCATTTTTAATTAATTCAACACATGTGACCTGTAGCTTATGAGAAGTATCGGATGTTAAAAAGGCACGAGAACGTTATTTGTGGAGGCAAAATACAGGAACCGATTTGTTAAGTACGGTGCTTTTAGAGTTTCCATTGTGTAGAAAATAGTAATGTAAACAAAAAGCCTTCAATATTGAAAATGATGTTGTCATTGTCACTGCTTTCCTTTGGAACAAGTAGAGGTGTTCTAATGCAACTCAAATTTACAAAATGCCGGATCTGACCAATATCAGAAAGCTAAAGGGGAACAAAGTACAGAGAAATGAAAGTAGGGCATTCCAGCAAAACACACGAGTGCGACCGATCTGATGGCGAGATTTGAGCTCTGGAGCCAGGCTTGTTTATTTTTTCTCGGCTTTTGGTTTCCTAATACAGCACTATCTGAGCCGGTCTACTGGTGGGGTGTAGGGATGGAGGCGAGTCAGCCTGGTGGAATCAGGGTTAGATCAATAATGTTACGCCTAATGAGGTGATGACATATCTCTCAGCACATGCTTCCCCTCGCCTGGGGGTCGGGAGATCACTGAGATGCACAGAAAACTAAGTGCTGTTTCCTTAAAAGTTATCAAGATGTTTCTTTGAGAAGTCTGTTGAAGGGGTGGGGGGGGTGCAAGTGATGATACAATGTAATCCAACCCTGACCACATCCTCTATCTCATACACCCCATGGACATAAGAGACAGCCATTGAAATGCCATGATCTCAAAAGCTTTGAACCTTAATAGCATCAATCTGGAGCACTTCCATATCAGCAACTCACAATTATCTTCAAATGTTTTCACTTACATTCACGGCCTGTTGGTGGGATCCGTGGAAAATATTCTGTTCGCTACAAAACCACATCTGTGAATGCTGTAAACGAGCGAGAGGACACACACACACACACACACACACACACACACAGCTTGGAGAAAAAGGTATTAAATGAGAGATGGCAAAAGGCTAAGAAAACATTTCATGAGCTTGCTGGCTTTTCCCTTACAGTAATAAATCAGAATAGCAATACCTATAATAACTCAGCCTGGAAAAGAAAAACTGAAAAGATAAAGAAAAGAGGGAGCAGCTGTTTGAGAAATATCCAGAACATTCTGTGCTGGAGGGTCAAAGCTTGGCCCTCTGGTTCACCTGCGTGAGGGACAGAGTCTGGGAGAAAGCTTTAAATGGGCCATTACAACCAACTCAAACATAAAACTAACCATTCTCTTAACCCTCAACCGTGGCTATAAATCACATCAGACTTTCTGTTTGATGTCCTTCCTATTTTACGTTTTAAAACTCCCAGGACATGGCAATAAATAGGGGTCAGGTAGTGTGTGGGTCAGCTGTCGGAGCCCACTAACCGCTGCCCTCCCCCGGCTGTCCCGTCACACACGCAGCAGGAGATTGATAGCTCAATCAGCCAGCAACAGTCATTTTATGTTTTTTAGGTGATGGGCCAATCGTATCTCACTATGTGACCTGAGGCAGCCTCAGACGATCTTATCAGTAGAACACATATAGAAGCAGACACAGATAACACAGTCTCTGGATACAGACATGGGCTTGTCTGAAAACACTGCTGACCACATGCAGTTAAACCAACCACAGCAAAAGAAGCCAGACACAGTCGACCTCTTAAAACTCAAACCTACATCATACACCACAGTGCTGCCCGTAGCGCTGGTGGATTTGGTAAAGAAAAATGAGCCAAGGCTGTAGCAAACATTCAAAGAAAGACAAGTCTGTAGCTGCACTGTGAAGCTTAATTGGGATCTCCCTAATGAGAGCTTGGACACAGTTGAACAGACAGGTCACCGTAGGGAGGAAGAGGTCAGGCTGGACGTCAGGACAAACACTCAAGAGAAGTGGAGGTATGTAACTAAGTAGAGCCAGTGGGCAATGAGCGTGTATTTGTTTGAATTTATGTGTTCTTCTTAGCCAATTCAACTAATACAAAGCATGTGCAGTCAGAGGTATGAGCTTAAGGTGAGGTGCCACTTAGGGCAGAAAAAAAATAAAGAAAGAGTCTGAATGGTTATGAGTGATCTCCTAAATCTGAAAATATTCATCATCCAGGCAAACAAACATTTGTATAAATGCTGTAAAATGTTAATAGTCCCTCCTCCCGGCTCTCCTCTCTGCCCTGACCCTCCAGCTCTTTTCCGATGCGTGAAACATTAGCCGCAGCGTGTTTGTTTGAAGCCAAGTGTCCCTTCACGAGTACAATTCAATCAGAGAAAAGCCACCAGAGCTAATCTATTAGCCTGTGCAATACATTACTGCGGTAAACTGTGGCAGATTTTAGGCACAAATTAAGATTTCGCCTGCACATATTATTGTGAGTTTGTGCACAATGAGAGTTGTGTTTGTGTTGATGGACAGGCTGTGTTTGTTCTGCGATGGGGTGAGGTGAGAGGATGTCACGGAGGGATGGAGGAGGGTGTCGGAGAGCCCTTATCTTGACAAAGTATGACAGAGAAAGGCGGCCTTATATGAACTCTGGATCGCGCGATTATAAGAGGTGTGTGTTTGTGCATTTATGTTTGTGCTGAGGAAGAGGGGGAACCCGTGTTTCACAAAGAGCGATTGATTGCAGGGGGTTGTGGAGCGGACGGGTGGGGGGGGTTGAGGCAGAGGAAGGGTGGAGCTGCACCCTAATCCTGCATATAGACCTCTGACCCTCAATATCAGCCCACATGTTTAGAGTTTCACTACAGAGGAAAGAAAACAGATGGGGGCCGTGGGGCCTCAGGGGTCTCCCCACTATAATACAGCATCATGAAGAAAGACAACTCCGCAGCTAGAAAGCAGGAGGCAGAAACTACTTCTTTATTTTATTGGGTTGGTTTGCTCTAACCACAGGCTAATGTCTTTTTAAGTCAAAACAATTAGTCTTACAAAACATCTTTGTTTTTCCACCTCATTTTTCATTGTTTAAATCTACCCAAGAGCCCCAGTCTCAAATACTAGTTCAAGTTATCAAACGCAGAGAAAATCCCATTATATTTTTGTATCCACCTTTCCCCATTAATATTTCCAACATGCAATGTTTATATATATTTCCTATTCCACCGTAGTAGCAGGATTTAATCACACTTAGCTTATTTTGCTGATGAGGATTTTATGACTTTTCCTTGTTTTTGTTAGAGCTGCTTTTAAGAGTGTAGTGTTGTTCTCTTTAATTGTTTCATAATGTCAGTACTTCAACTACTTCCACACTCATGCTGTGCTCAAAGCCTCTGTCCTCAATAACCTCATGTAGCTATTTCTTTGCTCTCCTTTTAATCTGTCCTTTATTACAAATTAGTCAGATGGTTTGTCAGCTGTCAGATTTTCTTCTTTTTCCCACCCGCGGCTCTGTAACCAATTGTTTTAGCAAGCACAAAACAAGGAGTCACTTTGTGCTTCTGAGGGAAAAATAATATGAATGGTCATGAAACTCTAAAACAGTGGCCGCCGGTGACATCATGTGTGGATAAAAGGCTCTGGCTGCACTCCATGTTGTAATGTAAAGCGGTGCTGCAGTTTATTTAACTCTTTTCTTTCACTCCCCCCCCCGGATTGTTTTTACTTTTCTTTCTTTCTTCTGACCAGTGATGTTTTATGTGTTTTAGGGCATTTTGGACATTATGTGGGAAAGTCTGAGGGCCAGATGTCGGAGTGGAAGCTAGGGATTTTGAGGCTGGAAAATACATCGGCTATAAAAATATAAAAAATTTGTCTCCAGCAAGAGACTGGTGAAAACTGCAGGAGACCGGGAGCTTTGAAACCCACGCAACAGTCAAACAGAACTTCTGGTATGATGACAGCCTGAATATAAATGTGACACTCTTTTGGGCTTTGGTTCATGCTTCTCACCTGAAACATGCATGAACGCTCCAGTGCACAATATATAATGGCACATCATCACAACATATCCTACCCGATTGTGTTCATTTTATGCCAGTTCAAAACATCAAGAAAGACAAAATATGGCATTGGATTTTCTGACTTTTCTTTTCTTACGACTGTAATTATATTGTACATATATAAACTGTGCCAGTGTATTAGGTATACCTAGCTAATACGAATTCACACAACAGTTCGGCAGCAGTCCTACCTTCTTCAATGTTATATTGATCTTTTTTTTGCTTAAACTGCTTAAGAGAGATCTAAATGTGCCTGTATGGTCATGTTATAAGTACTGTATGTATAAGTATAGTAAAAACAGTGACATACAGCACAAACCTGCATTGAGCCAATTTCCCATAGAAGCAGTTTATAAAGGTTGTTCATCATTTAGTTAATTAGGCAGTTTGCTCTGGCTCACACTTTGTGCACTTCATACGGAGTAACCTGAAGCCACCAGTGAGACATATGGCTGTCTTAACCAAAGTGGCAAAACACATTTCTTCCATCCAGCAGTAATGTAAGCAGACGTCCAGCTTAATGACTTCTCTGCTCATTTCCTCTCCGACGAAATGCAGAAGAAAATAACTTGGGGCGGCAAAGCTAATGATCATTAAAGTGAAAACATCCACACACAAAATATAGTGTCCTCACTATATGCACACTTCCAGTGTGAGATTGGGGTGAACATAATTTAAGCAAGACAAACCCATTAAGAAATAGTTGTGGGCTTTATCGAGTGTAAAAAAAGGGCAAAAGTATGCCACAAATAAACACAGCCTTTTCTTAAACTGTGCCACAGCCATGACGATGATTTAAACCATAGCCAAGACAGACAGAGAGAGAGAGACAGAGGGAAATTAGAACAATTAAAAAGACACTGTTATATGTCTGCAGGCTATTTATAACTATTAGTGTGGTGAGGACCCAGCAGTGCACTTGGGAAGCTCATACTGATGACAAAATATAGGCAAAGTAAAGGGCCCAGTGCAAGTCTTTTATTCCACGTTTCACATGGATGTTACAGAATTTAACAGCTGTTTGTCAGTAGGGCTGAGAAAACAAGAAATGTAATAAATCCTACTCAAATTGAAGAGATAATCCGTTTAAATATCCATTACTTGCTCTACTTTTTACAGCCTGTGACTTTTCAAATGTATGTTCAGCCTGCTGCTGAAGTGATTTGGCTGTAACAAAAAGACCTGGAGAGAGAATAGAGGACACAAAACAGAAAAAGCAAAGAAAAAGGAAAGTATTCGAAAGCGAAGGGAAAGTAAACAAAGAGGACAAAAATATGAAAGAGGAAAATATTTTAGGAAAGAGTGCAAATCTTTCAAGGCTTAGGAGGGATAAGAGTATTTCAATCTATGATAGAAGCTGCCTTAAATTCCTACCTGGCCAGGAAGTGGAAAATGACACTGTCTATCACTATAAGTATCTTCCATTTTCAATCCAGTGTCGTCTGTGCTTTCTTTTTAAATCAGAGTGCTTTGTGTCAGCCTTAAATACTGTCGTTTCTCATCCCCTTCCCTTGTTCTGTCTCTGTAGTATCTGCGCTCATAGATCCTCTTGATTCTGTTTAAGAGTTAGGCTTCTCGAGTACCTTACAATTCATTTCAAGCTAAATAAACATGCGAGTCACAAAATGTTAGGGAAGATTGCTTATTCATGCCAAGGCACACACCACAGACATGTAGTGTTAGTAAATGATAGCTTAAAGAGAACATGGTTTGCATAATTCAAAGCATATAGTAAATCCATTCTACTTGGATTAACTTGTAATAAAAAAAAAGCACAGAAACAGAAATACAGGAATTGAAAAGTACTTCTATTGTAACCTAAATGAGATTCAGTAACAGACAGGTCCTTCAAATTTAAGTGCAGCCTGCTGAGAAACATCTAAGTGGTTTCTCGTCAGCCATGCGTGGACTTTTAGTATTTGTGCTGAAGAATAATGGCCCATTCCAACTCTGACAACCCAATATAGTTGGTCAAGTAGGGCAGCTGCACAGATCTGTGCAAGCATCACCCTTAAGCTATGAGATGCAGAGGGAAATCAACATTTCCAATCTCAGCAAAAACAACGTACTGACTGCAAACAAGGTATGCGAAGGCCAATTCATTTGAATGAATCTTTATTCCCATAGGTGACCACTTTACATTTTCCACTCGAAGGCTTTCCCAGTCCCCAAGCACTTCAACAGGGTTCAGTTTTGGTTTGATGGGGTGGAAAAAAGAAGCATGCTTGTTCTGAGAAAACGCCGTAAACTTAAAGACACGCTGGTGACCTCTCCATGTTCCCTGGAATGTCTTTGAAATGTTGTGGTTCCATGAAAGGGACTAGGCCCCTTCGTACTCAGAACCACCTACCAAGACGAAAACAGACTCCAGAAGACAGGAAAGAGAGAACAGAGTGGAGGAGACGGAAAATAAAAGTATAACAAGAAATAGATGAAGGAGGTGATAGCTGATGGATGAGCTGTAATGTTGCCTGTCCAGTTCATACTCGATGTGGATGATGCTGGATATAAACACTTATGGAGCTCCAAGCGACAGTAGAAAGAGCCAGTCTGGAAGAGAAGACGTAGTTGAGAGAACCAATACTGGTAACGCTGCTGTTAAAGTCATTAGCATCTCTCACCGAGGTCAGCAAGGATACAGTACCTGGTTACGCTGTCAGACACATCGGCTGCTGGAAAAACACATGGTCCTGAAAAAGAATAACGTCTCTGGATAGTCATGCACGCACGGTATTTAATCATACCGATGGACACACAAGCTTATGCATACCAGCGAGATTTCCAGTACGAGCTGTAATTCTGTCCCTTTTCGATATTGTTCCAAGTGACAGAATTGCCAGAATTCCTAAAGAACCACAATGGCATCATATGGGACACAAAGGGCCTGCGTTTCAGGGTGGAGGTAGGACTTAATGACGTGGCACCAAGTAAAGATTGGGTGAAGAGTGACAGAGTGGATAAGGAGGACTAAAGAGTGTTTTGCATGCCCAAGACAGGGTGTTAAATGGAGCACTGTGCACTGAGGAGAAACAGAGCTAACATCAGCAAGGATAGGAGGCGAGGGAGTGCCGGCAGTCACCCTTCAGATTAGAAAACAATTCTACACAAACGGTTTTCCTTGCATTGACTCTTGCCCTTGTAGCGACGCCAAATTATGTGTTTTGTGAAACACAAATAATAACTCCTACCATAAATGATGGGTTAATGTATGGAGCAGTGGGTGCTCAGTAGTTAGAACATTTAACTGCTCTCACAGGAAGCTGCAAATCAGAAGAAGGGGTCAATTTGTGTCAGATATCTATGCAGGAAGGAGGGCTTGATCCCTTTTAGAGGCCTTTTCAACCAAATGCTTGGAACTTGAGGACATGAATCAGAAGCTTAAAGTTCGGGGCCTTTGATAGCCAACGGGACCTCAAAAAAATGTGGGTGTCTGTCAGCCGGAGAACGACCAGAGACAGAAAGCAGACCTCGTCCCGTGGGCAAATGTGTTCTCTCTTTGGTTCTTTAACATAAACAACTATGTGTGAAACAATGAGCTGACAACTCTGGATAAACACAGAGTGAGCACTTTTCCAAAGAATAACTGATTGTCTGTGAATATTTAAAAAAAGTGTCAGATACCTTTTCATTAAAATCCTAAAGCATCCGACAGCTAGTTCCTCGACTCTGGGACAGCATACATCCAACACCCCTGCTTTTAACATTCCTTTTGTAAAATGTTGTAAACGAAGAATTGTCTGCTCAGGGTCCTGACTCTTAAGATCTTGTTTTCTTGCAGGGAGGCCTGGCGGGACTTGGAGGAAGCACCAGTAGCTGTCCATCTATCCATCTAACCAGCCAGAAGCATGCAGGGGCTGGTGTGGAGCCTGTGTGCCCTGCTCTGCCTCTCCCTCTGGGAGGAAGGTTTCTGCAGGAGCTCCATTAATGCACGCAGGACCAAAGAGCCTACTCTCCGTAGGAGTAAAAGAGCCCCCATCGATCCTGATGGCAAAAAGTGTTCCTACACCTTCCTTGTGCCCGAGGAGAGAATCACAGGTTCAAAGGATAACTTATTTTATGTCACATACCTTTGGTTTTTCCCCAATATATTTCATGTAACAAATCCTTGATTTTCAAAAACTCCAAATTGCTTCCTGGTAATCTCCTATGTATTTCACATCTGTCAAAAGGTCCAATCTGTGCCAGCACCACAGGCCCAGAGCCAGACAAGGACCGAGTGACCCGTATGGACATTTCAGATGTGCGGGAGGTGCTTAATAAACAGAGGCTTGAGATTGAGACGCTGCACCTGGTGGTGGATGTGGATGGTAACTTGGTAAATGAGATGAAGCTGCTGCGGAAGGAAAGCAGGAACATGAACTCTAGGGTGACCCAACTCTACATGCAGCTGCTACATGAGATCATCAGGAAAAGAGACAACTCTCTGGAGCTGGCCCAGCTGGAAAACCGCGTCCTCAATGTGACCTCTGAAATGATGCGACTGGCTTCAAGGTATAAGGAGCTGGAGTCCAGGTTTGCAACAATGGCAGGAGTGGTCAACAACCAGTCCATTCTCATCTCTGCACTGGAGGAGCAGTGCATGAGGACTGCGGGACGCGGTGAGCTGCCTGTTGTTCCCCCCCTGGTACAGGTGGTACCGCAGCATCTACCAGTTAACAGCCGTTTCACCAATGAGATACAGAGGGACCATAACAACCGGGCCTTTCCTAGAGGATCACGCATGGAATCCCCTACTGCAAGTCCTTTTGGGATTGACCCACCACCACCACAGGGAACACTTACCTCTGATGGTAAGTACCAATTTGAACTTGGAAAGGGATACGGAAAGAAACAATTGTCTGAACACAAGGCAATTGTTCTTTGTAAGTTGTGTGTGAGATTAACTAGGACAATTACTAAGTGCTATTAAGAACGTAATGTTTGGCAGAAGTTGGTATCGCTGAGGCACTATTGGCTAATCCTTGGCATGATTCCTACTTGGCTGTTTGTATTGGCTGTACAGTACTGAGCATGTGTACTTGGTGGGATGCAGATAAGACCTCTTTGAACTGCATTAAAAATACATCAGAGAACAGTAATATAAAGCTTCTTCATAGGATTTAGTCAGATTTACAGTAAGTCCATGCAAGACATAAAAAGAAGCCAGGTTTAGACTAACGGAGCACACTGCAGACGGACAGCAAAAGGTCAAATCAGATAGGAGAGACTGCTGTACCTTTGATCTCACAGAGATTGAAAAATTCTTACTTTGAAGCAAGATTATCTCCAATTTAAAATTCACTACGTTCACTCACAAAATATTTTAGGTTAAAAATAAAAATAAATGTCCATGTACTTTGTTGTTGGTTGGGTACCATGGAAACAACCACAGCAATGGAGCAATAGCCCCCTGGGAGATATAAATAATTTAAATGGTCTCTAACTGAGAGGGAGGTCTTCAGAGAAGCTGAAGTATCAGTGCACCAATGACTTAAACAAAGCTTTCAATCTGGATCCCGTTAATGTATTTACAACCAAAAGAAGCAACGGAAAGCCAGAGAAGGATCATATCGGATTTGTTTGCTGACACATCATCCATCATGTGTAACGTTTTAGGAAAAAAATATATATTTCTACATCTTGTGTCCATACAACATATTTATCCAATTCCTTCTGATACGGATGTATACTTGTCCTTTCTGTTACATTTTTAAGACTGAGATTGAATGGAATCAAGGGATCTAAATCATAAATGAAAAAAGGGAAATGTTCATCCCCCCAAATACCAATATTAGGCTTTCGACCATAGAGTTTTACTTTAACTGTAAAATACACAGTACCTGACCACAGTTTGGTCCAGGCAAGCCCTTTCTCAACAATTATGGTTTGTTTACCAGATTTATTTTTAACCCCAAGCCGTAATAGCTCTGTTCGGAGAACCTAACAAGAAAGTGAAAGGAAAGGAGAAAGAGAAAGTGGGAATACATCAGAGAACCCCCTCACTGACACGTCTGATGAAGACATATCATTACAAGAAAAATACAAGCTTGTGCTGGGGAGTTTTAGGTATCTGTGCTAGGGCAATACACTGGGTCCCTATGTGCTCCTACACTCAGCTGAGAAAATCATCTTCCATGGACCCTTAGGCCCCGGAGGCCCCCACACAATGCCGGTGTTCATGCTGGTTTAATACACATTCACACAGGGGAAAACAGAGGAAATATGGTGGGTTGGGGTTCAGCTGCTTCAGCTCTGGGTGCAGTGCTACCATATTGCTTAATTTGAGGGCTAAACCTAAGTGAATATTCATTCAATAAGGAAAATGTACACATGTATGTTTGTGTGCATTTGTAACTAACGTTTATTTGTATAACTTTGTAATAGAAAAAGGTATTTTGAAAAGAATGTGGCCACAATACATCCAGTCAAACCTTACTTTTGCTTCCTTTTCCTCTTGTCTGCTGTCTCGAACTGCTAGACTTGATGATGATGATGATGATGATGATGATGATGATGATGATGATGATGAGTTTTGCATATGCAATAAAACCAGACATCTTGTTCAACTCAAGGAACTGTACAGTATATTTGTTCAGTGAGCTCAAACTGAATAAAATCTTTCAATGGAGGATTTTAGTAGGAATATAGATATACAACCTATACAATATTTTAAGTTATTAGTTCAAAACTGTCTTTTTACTAGTTGAGCAAAGAATCATGAACTACTAATCCCCAAATACTTAGGAAACAGAGGAATAATTGGAATATAATGATAATGCAAGTTGCCCTATAACAATAGATTGTGAGAAAATGGTGATTTTACAATAGGGATTCCCTTAAATACAAACGTTGTCAAATTGTGTCTGTATTCAACCTTCTTTCTGTCCACAGGTCCGTTCAAAGACTGTTTCCAGGTGCGGCAGGCAGGCCATACCACCAGTGGGATGTACCTGCTTAAGACCGATGGCAGTGACCGGTTAATACAAGCCTGGTGTGAACATGGCCTTGACAATGGAGGATGGACTGTGCTGCAAAGGAGGAGAGATGGCTCCGTAAACTTCTTTCGGAACTGGGACAACTACAAGGTAGGGCTGACATCCACGAGATTTGAGATATCATAACATTGTGTCGCCTAAGTGTTGACTCTTCCTGGTTTAAATGGCTGGAATAAATATATTTAAGCAGGAGCAAGAACTGATTTCACAGCTTTTCTTTTTCCATTTCCTAAGCGACCCACTGTTAGCAGTTCAAATCGGGGCCACTAAGTAAGCACTATCTCCATCAGTATAAACAGCTTAGCAGGGGATTCCCTAACACTGAAATCCCAGCCAAGAGCTAGAGCCAGGGATCTGCATAGACATAAGAAACAGTAGGCTGACAAGGAAACACAGTTCAACATCACTGGGGAGGATCTCTTCAACCTCTTCTTGTTATGGTTCAAATGTTGTGATTGAGATGTGATACAGGAACTAACAAAGCAGGGGACAGACAAATACGTCACAGCCTGACAAGTCTCCAAGGTTCCTCTTAAAAAAATATGGAAATGGCAAGAGTTTTCTTTCCTGCCATAAAATTGGTTCAAAAAATCAATACTAAAATGTTGTTTAAATCAGGAACATAAATGTGTTTCTGCATTTAGCTTTAGTCAACTCTCCATCCAGCTTCGGCCAAATCTTAATTGCCCCGGCCATTCAATAATTGTCTTGAGTGAGAACCACGGTTCATAACCTTAACACATTATCGTCTCAACAATAAGCAGATCTGATTTCATTTTACTTGATTGCAGACTCCTTTAAACTCAGCACCCTGTTAGAAAGTCTTATTAACCTCACACAGCTTTACTGTTTATGTTTTTTGGACATGGTAGGCGCTCTGTAACCACAGAATAAAAAGAAAACTGTTCTTTCACCACTTGGCTCACTCAGTGTCGACTTACTCGTGTTAATACAGAACTTTATTGGTTTACGCTACGTTGCAATGCCATTTTTACATGAAACCACAACTGACAATGAATGAGAAACAACATGCTTTGGTGCTTCTCCCCTACAGAAAGGCTTTGGAAACATAGATGGTGAACACTGGCTTGGGCTGGAAAATATTTACAACCTGGGGAAGCAGGGCGACTATAAGCTGATGATAGAGATGGAGGATTGGACGGGGAAGAAGGTGTACGCCGAGTACAGCAGCTTCCACCTGGAGCCAGAGAGCGGGGGTTATCGGCTGAGGCTCGGCACCTACCAGGGCAACGCCGGGGACTCCTTCAGCAGCCACAACGGCAAACAGTTCACCACGCTGGATCGCGACAAGGATGCATTTACAGGTAAGGGGGAGTAGTAAGCTGAATTCCAAATGTTTTTTTTTAAATAACTGCTAGTAAAGTGACACATCAAAGGGTTTTATGCTCATCTTTTTTTTCATGTTGTGTCTCTCTCTATTAGGTAATTGCGCCCATTTCCATAAGGGTGGCTGGTGGTACAATTCATGTGGCCAGACTAACCTGAATGGCGTGTGGTACAGCGGGGGAGTTTACCGAAGCAAATTTCAGGATGGGATCTTCTGGGCAGACTATGGAGGAGGGTTCTACTCCCTTAAGTCAGTCCGACTTATGATCCGACCGATTGACTGAAACACAGCACTTCAGTTCCCTTTGAATGCAACTCAGTGTCCCTCCTTGTAAAATACGAAGGAGGAAGAGACGCCAGGGAATTAAGACTCTAAAAGTGTTGCTATGACTAGCTCCAAAGTTGACTTTGAAATGAAAACTGATGCCAGTGCCTTTCCTAAGTCACTGCTCCATCTTCCATCTTTCAGTCTGGAAAGTTATAGTCCATCAAGCTTTCTAGGACCATCAAGTATTATTCTCAAATGTCCTATTTTACTCAATCTTGATGGTAATCAGCATCTTATAAAAAGGGAAATGGTAATTTACTAGAGAGATGAGATTTCTTCTGAGCAGCTAATGATGACTTAATGAAAAGTAGTGTCACCCATACAAGAGGGGATTGGATTTAATGGGATGTTTAACAAATGTATGTAAAAATGCTAAAATGTAAAGTTGTGTCGCCAGTTAGACTCCCTGTGGATCAAACGGTTAGGGAACAGGACATGCTCGACCTTCGGCCTACTCCTTTCTGGGTTTTTCTTTTGGACTTCTGGGGTTTCTATAAAACCCCCCAGAAAATGATCTTGTGCTTTTCCAATGTACATATGGCTGAGCTGGCTATGGTGTGTAAATATATTTGGTTTAATTTGTGAATGGTAATTTAAGCGGTGTGATTCTGCTCAGGCCGATTGTTCACAATGTTGTCACTCTGCCATTCGTTGTTATTTATCAGTGTATTTATAGTAAGTATAGTCATGGTTGTTTTATATCAAGCCCTGTAATAAAACAATTATTTGAAAAAGGTTCTCTCATGTACTGCTACATTAATGACAGTTGAACAGAGGCACACACACAAACACAGTTAGTTCATCTTCTAGTTCATAAAGGTGAGACTGATGAATAGTAAAATACAGGTTTTAAAAGTATTTCCACTCTTATTGTCAAACTTTAAGTATGTAAAATATGAGCTAAGGCTTTATCGGTATAAAGGATGATGCAATCACCTAAAATCCAACACCTTCAGAATTCTTTGATCTGATTTAAGTGCAATATAAGCTGCCAATACCTGACTGAAGGAGGTCAGAAGGATAACGATTAATTTAATAATCAAAGTAGGTTAGTGGGCAAGATAAAGAAGAACTGTGACTAAGTGAGAGAAGATTCAACATCACATTATTCTTGTTCTGAAAGAAAGAAGGCCAAAGAAAAGGAGAGTTTGAAAGAAATATCTAAGGGGAAAAAGAAAGCCTTGAAGAAGCGGATTCAAATGTATCAAGGTGAGGACATGGAGGATATTAAATGATGCCATAATGGAAGAATTTAGACTAAAATAAGAACCTGGGAGACAGTAAAGATGATAAAAGGCAAGAGATGGAGAGACGGGGAAGAGAAGGATGGAAAATTCCTTCCACTTAAACCGTTGAGCTTTTCTTTCCGTAAATTACAAACGTATATCTTGAAAATTGTGGCTCCCCTGTGTACCTTTCTTTCCCTCTGAGGAGCTGTAAGTCAGAAGAGAGAGGAGACGTCTGATGCAAACACTGCAGAAGGAGAGACTCAGACACACAGTCAGCTATTTTTTTAGCTTAAGTTCTTACACACACAGTTAGCCAGCAGAACTGACAGGTAGGCTTACTGTCAGCCATCTAAAACATTGTATATCCAACAGCCCAGGCCTGGCTGTACTAACTTCTCGTGTTAGTTTTTTTTTACACAAAAAGCTGAAGTTCAAAGGAACCAGTATTGTTTGAGTTTGCTGCATTCCTGATCACATATGACACCTTACCCCTGGGGTTTTCCCTTGTATTGATTATTCCAGCATTGCTTGTGTCCCACAGCTACTCCAACAGCTACAGCAACAGCATGCTGGAGCAGGAGGGAGTCAAGGGGCCTTGTGCCGCTTTCTGACCCTCTTTAGTCTTTTTCCACTGACAAAGACCAACAAGCAAATGGCTATTATTGCAGTGATAATGTGCTTCAAGGCAAGGCTTAGGAAAATCATTAAAGATCCCAACTACCTGCATAGCGACCTGTCTCACGGTTTCTGATGCATACATTCAAGAAACGGCAGGATTCTTTTTCAACACAATGAGATCTTGCTCAATAGGACACTTTCAGAATTAAAAGGTAAAAACCTATGTTTACAAAAGTTCATGTTTCGGATTCTCCCTCATCTGTGAAACAAAACTGTTACATTTGCTTTAAAGCACTGCACTTTTTTCCTGAAACAAATGTCACTGCGCGATTGTGTTTTGGGGCTGTTTGGACTATAAAAACACTTGATGCGCTGCAGTACGTCCAATTTGCTGCTGCTGCTGTTGCGTGGCTTTCACTACGTGGCTGGTGAATTTTAAAGTGTGTGTGTTTTGTAACAGTGGAGCCTTACGTTTCTTTGGGCTCTTTGTCTTTGCATGATTGGCCAGAGAACAGGAACAAGCTCATCTGAGCATTTAACAGGCTGGCCCTGTGGTGAGCGCAGACAGGAGGGGGCTGTGTCTGCCAAGCCTAATAGCAGGTCAGGGTTCACACAGTTGCACGCACACACACACACACAACACACACACACACACACACACACACACACACGCGCAGTAAGGCACAAGTGTAGCACTGTGGAAAAATGAAAGCCTGGTGACCGCACAACAGACACAAGGCTCTTTCTCCAGCATCGTTATCACTGAAGATAAGCATCAGACCTAAAAAGGTGCAAATGGAACAAGACAGAAACATGATCGGAAGTCTCAAAACTACACAGATACACTTTGTAGAACTCAACACACCTGAGGTGTATTAAGTACTTAGAAAAGCACAGGGTTATTTTAGACTTCTGCGGTGGGTTTCGACTTTAATTTAAGCTGCAACAGGTACTGCGAGTGGTGACGAGAGAGGTAAACATGAACAAATACATTATGGAAAACAAAACCCAACCCAGGTTTAACGGTTACACCCAGCACTTATCGGGAGTGATGCTGTGGAACAAGCATTGCGGCATTCAGTGGGTTTATGATGGAGGAGGCGCATTGAGAACAAGAGAGCGGTGATTTCCCTTCTTTGTGCCAACTTGGCTGAGGACAGCCCCAAGGACAGCCAGCTGGTCACACATCAAACGGCCACACACATCATTGACAGGCTCAGACTGGAAGGAAACACCAGCCTGCTCACACGTACAACGACTTACAACCCAAGGAGACTCCACCCTAATAACGGCCAACGAGTCACACTTCACTGAAACTCTTACCGAACGGAAAATCTTCCCCTTCCTCTTAACATACACACACAATGAGGGAGCCATTGGGTTAAACCGGTTAAACCAGCGATTGCATTCGACAGCTTCAGCTTTGCATTTGTTTCCTGAGCTGTCATTGCTTCCAGATTTCTGTGACGTAGGCAATGTGGAAAATGAGTGTTCACAAAGTTTATAAAATGACAAACAGACTCTTGAGCTTGTTTTTGATTTTGTCCGTGTTTGTTGGAAAATACTTGAGCATCTAATCACTCAGCAGTAGCCATGATGCGAGCCTGATGGCAAGAAGAGAAACAGCCTTGGCGGAGAAGAACATCAAAGTCCTCCACTCATCATCAAGTCAAAACAAGAACAAACAGTGCAGCCATAAAACGACACACACGTATGTCCACTCTTACATCACACTGAGTGTTTTCCTTGCAACACTCATCATTGCTGTGTGATACAGTGGAGCCGAAGAAAGAGGGGGTAAAATATTTAAGGAAAAGTCGAAGAAATATAGCTTTCTTCATATTTCTTTCTCGCTGATTCATGTGTTTGTTCCAGCTATTTGGAGATGTTTCACAACTGATCAGCACATTTATGTTCGACATTCCTCTACTCCAAGAAGCAGAGTAAAAGGAAAAGTCAGGAAATTAGATGACAGAGTTAACATTTATAGGCTACAGTGGAAACAAGTAGCTTATTGAAAGAAGTACTGAGAAACCGAGGAACAACAGACGTGACTGACTGATGACTCTGGCACTGAGTAATCCAAGAGATGATGGTACCAGACACACATGCAGAGGAAGCTCATTTTGTTAAACTCAGGTGATTTGTCTTTAGATTAGCCTTTAGCCCATAAAGATAAGAAGCAGAAAGACATTTTGGTGCATTCTTTAAATAACGTATTGTGTATGTTTGTGTCTGTTACCTAGGTACGGTATACAAGAAACCATGCTCTGGCTGCTTATGAAGTCTCTCAGACGTTTATAGTTGTCTTCTTTGGACATCAGGTAGTCGAGCCGATCAAAAGTTGCCTTGTCTTTCCGACTCAGTAACTAAAGGGGGAAAGAAAAAGTGAAATGAGTTGAAGATTATTTAACAGAAACAAACAGCTTTAATGTATATATATATATATATATATATATATATATATATGGTTAAGTGTATATAAATACAGTTACATTCTGCAGAATAAAAGCATTACTCTCAAACTAGTTGCATGGTTAATGGACTGGCCACAGTGCATGCAGTTTTTTAAATAGACACAGCTGCATGCTTGTGTGTTTCTGTTAGACCATTTGTAACAGCTACAGATATGAAGTGTATATCCTGCAAGAGGCCAAGAGGATTGAACTGCAGAGTACTGAGCTTTGAGAGGCAGCAGTGGTAAAGCATCAGACCACAGTATCTACTGACATAGGAAGATCGGTTGTGCCAACAGCAGAGAATACTAATGATACCTAAAAGGAAACCAGTGTGTGTGTTTATGTACTGTATGTGTGTGTGCCCTATGTGTTATAGAAGAAGGTGAGCTATTTCCTGGCCAGCAACAGCATTTCCCTGGCTAAAGGAATCTCCTGTGGTTTTGTGGAGCCGGGTATAAGACATTTCAGCATTACATCAGAGCATCATCATGCCATTATGTAAGATCTTTCATTAAAAAAACTGAAATGGATGGGTTATCCCTTTCCTGCTTGAAAATGGTATAATAAAAAATACTTTGTTCAAGATGTTCCCGCTCTAAATACTGTATGGAGGGGCTGGGTAGATCACTAAAGAAAGCATTGATAGGAATAAGAAATGACAGAAAAGGACACGACACTAAAAACCTCAAGTTCTCCTTGGTGGAGGTTTAATAGGTTCTCAATTTATCCCATAAACAGCGGTGATTTCAACGTTCTAATATTATAAACAGAGCGTTTCATTTATTTCATTTTCCTGAAGTCAGCCATTCATCTTGTGACGACACTTCTGTGCTAGTTTTAATTAGTGTTGGTTTATGTTTCCGGTGCAGATCTACGTGACATCCCAGTTTATTAACAGCACTCTACTAATAAACCAGACTTTCGTTCAAACTAAGGCAAATATACTCACCGCCCATGTTTTGGTAAGCCTGAAGATGGGGGCACTTTGTAACGCTGACACCACAGCCATGACCGCATGGAGGTTGTTCATGTCACACAGTTTCTGTTAAAAAAGTTACAGTACAAAGAGCACAAATTGAGTTGGGTTTGCAATACAAACATCACTGAGGATAGAACAACAAAGTCAAGTTAAGCGTGGATGTGTGTACCTTGGCAGTGCGAATATACAGACTCAGCACCTCGGCCCTGATCTTCAACGTCTGCGCATGGAGGATCTCACGTACCACCCAGAAACTTGTCTGGAGAAAAAGGCACACAAATTACAACACCAAGCCACTCTTAAAAACTCAGAAAAACAGACCCAGGATGCTGCAAAACCGATGACGCGCAAACTTTATTTCTCATGCGCTTCACTCTCCAAAGAACAATAATGGTTCAAGGTGTTTACAAAGAAAGACAGGCTGTTCAGCCTTGTTAAATCTTCAATCTTT